GCTCTATGTGGCTGGCATAATGAAGATTCAGTTAAGAATTGATTCACACTTTGTTTTTTCAGAAGGATTTTATTTGTTGGTTTGGGGGCTTTCTTCCTCCTTTTTTTTCTTTAATATTGCCAGGCCACCCACAGCAAGACTATGTTCTTTTCCCAAACTAAGTGTCCATGTTAAATTAACTTATCCTATCATTATAAATGAATCAACTAAAGGATAAGTTTTCAAGACATTAACAGGCAATTCCAACACAGGAAGGTTCAGCAGGTTTGTATTAGGAATTCAAATTTGAATCCAAACTGGAACACAAACATCTCTGCTGAGTAATGTTGGAAAAATAAGTCTAATTGCACTAAAGCTAGAATTAAAAGCTTCTGGAGATCTGGACACTTCGGTGTCACAGAAAGGTATCACACAAAGTCATCAGATAATAACTATATCTATTCCATATGCATTTTCCTCATTTTAAGACACAGTAATAGATTATTTTTACTCCACATCAGCTGAACATAACTTATGTCTCAAACTTCTTATGAACAGAGAAGTTGAATACAACTAACTTGAGAGCCCACACATTCATTTCTGAAAGTTCCTTTGCCTAAAGGAAACAGGCATGAAAGTTCTCTGAAAGCTAGCCTTTTCCAATGAAATGCTCATGGTTGCTTCAGAGAAGGGAGGGAAAAAATATATGCAATATTTCTATAGCAACAGAGTTTAAGACATGTAGCACCTTTAAAATTTATTTTGTTCTTTCATTGTGATTTAGTCAAGATATTTAACACAACTATTTCTGCTATGCTAAAATATCTTATTTAACAGAGTGACAAAGAAATAAATTACCATATTCTAAATTTAAAAAAAAAAATTAAAAGCTGAATACGTTAGCATTATGAACATTTAGAAGTGTAACATTTTCCTTCATCCACATTTAATATTATGAAACTGCATAGACTCAGCGAGAGGGTTGATGTAACAGTGATTTCTTCAGTTTACTTATGTATTGTTTTAATACTCATTTTATGAAATTAATTCTTACTGTTTCTGATGCAGAAAGCTGGTATAATCATTCACAAACTAACCTCCATTTAGATACTGAAGTATTATAGTTAGAATATGGAATTTGGAACCAGGAAACAAACTCTATTATTCACTATATTACATACAGTCTTTAGTGATAGCAAGTCACTGATCATTCTCATGTTAGAAGTAACATGAGGATGCTGATGTTCTGAAGTAAAAATCCAGACAAAAATCCAGTCATTAGGTTTAGCTCATGAGTAGTGCTAAAATTCTTTAAAATTCTCAAATAGAAATTATGACAAATATAAGGCATTCCTGTTCCTTTCACATGATGAGCACATAGTTCACAATGACTTCATTTATCCCCACTTTAAAGGTAGTTCTCCCTCATTATTATTTCATGACTGATGTTCACAATCTATGCAGAATAAGCATACAAGCACAAGAAAATTTTCATAAATAAGAACTCATATCTTATCCAGAGCTTAAATAGTACCTATGAAAACTGTTGGTTAGTTTTTTCTGTCCAGATTTCTACTGCTGAGTGTTATGTGTTCGAGAGAGACTAAAAGCCAAGGCTTACATGTGAACAGTTTTCAAGGGTTTCCATATATAGTCAGTATTATAAATAGCTATTTTTATAACAGCACTGAACTGACTTTTCGTTATATATAGAGAGGGTGTTTTCTGCATACAGAAATTATCCTGTTATTCTACCTTGTACTTGCAGTCTTAGCTCTCCTCCCACTCACATGGTCCTGCTCTGTTTCCAATAGAAATAGCCACCGTTAGTGTCAAACCACACTGACACTACAGTTCACAGAATACCAGGTTGGAAGGGACCTCAAGGATCATCTGGCCCAACATTTATTGGAAAAATCACAAACTAGACAAGGTGGCCCAGCACCCTGTCCAGACGTACCTTACAAGTGTCCAGTGTTGGGGAATCCACCAGTTTCCTGGGAAGATTATTCCAACAGCTGACTGTTCTCATTGAGAAAAATTTTCCTCTTGTGTCTCACTGGAATATCCCCAGGAATAACTTATCACCCTTATCTTTTCCATGGGACTCCTTGTAAAAGGGAGTCTCCATCTTCTTTTTAGCGACCCTTTAAATGCTATAACATGACGTTAATTAGATCAGTGCTTCAATAAGAGTTTCCACCAAACTAGCCCAAACCTCTGTTTTTATAAAAAGCTCTCTCTATACTGACCATACAGTTTTTTACATTTTCCTTTAGCTGCTTCACTAGTAAAGAAGGTTTATGAAATCGCTATTCTCAAGTTTTTTGTTAGGAACATAGACCTAGAGTAAGCATTTCAGTACTTAAATATCAATGTGTATTTTTCCCCCATCACTATTACACTAAACTGATAGGATCTATGGGAACAGCAAAAATGGATCTGCAATTTCTTTGTTTCAACACAAAGTTTTGAAACTTCATGTTGAAAACACAAGTTTTGAAAACTAAGGCAGAGCACATCAGCTACAACACTAACATGTTTGTTATGAATCTCATTTTAAAGTCAGACACAAATCAAAACAAATTTCTAGTTTCAACTTTCATAAAATTTAAATCTAAAACACTGAAAAAAGTCTTTAACATGAAACAACTATGGATTATATATCAGATTCATTAAAAATGTCAACATTAAGTTGAAATCAAGCATAATGCAAGTATCTTTTACATGAGTAGTTTTGAACAATGCTAACTGCTTTTAATCGCAGGTCTAAGCACTAGTTGAAATTGTTTCAATAGATCTATTTCCAAAATATGGTATTGCATTTGCTCTTTGCGATGTTTGATTTCTACAGCTTTAGTTTTCTTCCTGTTCCTATAAAATGTGTTCTTTCACCCATTGTAATATATCATCTAATTCTTCTGCATGCTACAAAAATCTAAGTAGCTAAATCCAGGCAACAAAGATTTTGATACAATGTTGATCTACTTCCCTAAATACTACAGTTTCAGGTAAATACTGACAAACAAGGCCAAACTCCTGAGAGTTATTCAATACAAAGGCTTCTTGAGGCAGAGAGCTCCTCTCTTTGAAGAACATCTTTCCAGAAGTACAGTGGGGGAGCTTTTTCCTTCCTATTGCCAAATGAGTAAAATGAGAGAAATTTTAAACAACCACACACCTAGAGGTAGTATTTATGTCTGTACAATAGAAAAGGCCAATACTTCTTTTATTCAATCCACCTATTAAAAATGGTACTTCGTGTTCCTACTACACACAAGTGCATTTTATAAAAAACTTCCATTTTTTTTTCCAACTGCAGATCTCTGCATATACACACACACTAAGACAAGAGCAATCTTAAAGATCATGGGTTTTTTAGGCAAACCCAACAGACTACCTGAAACGTTAAAATTTGAAACACTTACAATGAGATCTGGGAAAAAAATAGTTAAGTGTATGCACAGATAGCAAAATGAAGTGGGAATTGTAGATTGTCCTAGCCAAGAAGCCATTACCAATCGGCAACATACAACTTGATCACTCATTACAATGGAAGCTGGTGGTGCTCAACACCTCCCTGAAAAGCAGCAGAGAGGCATGAGAACAACAAAAGAAACTGAGAGGACAATTTTAAACTTCTCTCCTGCAATACTGCAGAACCCCACAGCCATTTGTGATATGCGTTTATCAGTATGCCAGTGGATTTTCTTAGCCCTTCTCTGTTGTACATTCTCTTACAGCCCGTTTGAGACGTTCCAAAGCTTTGTTAAATAACCGGGTATTTGCCATAAATGAGTCTTTCAGACGCGACTGTGACTAATGTTTTACCATCTTGACAAGTCTGCTGAGTACGAGTCAGGTAATAGCTTCCCTCACCCAAGACACAGCACACAAAAATATGCACGATCATTACTAATTTCACTATGGCAGTTTCAGGCTGTTGCTGCCTCAGACATTTACCTGCCGCAGCCATAGTCGGCCGTGCACGATGCAGACAGGAGGAGGATCTCCGAGAGCAAGCCTGGAGTAGTTCAGCAACAGCAACAGCGCGCAGAGCCCTCACATACATAAAGAGAATGGAATAGGAGCTGAGCTTATTGCTCTTCCAGCCCTAGAAGAGGCATTGCTGCAGACACACCAAACCCTGCTTGAAAAAAAATCCTTTTCCCTTCCATATGGTTCCAAGGACAGCAGTCGTGTTTTCCCTGCTCACCGGCCAATACAAAAGATGAAAGCTGAGAGCAGAAGCAAGGAATAGCCCAGCAACGGGAATCCCGGCATCCCTCATCTTCCCAGCAGCTCGAGGTGAGGTACAGCCTTCCCTCCCTCCTGGGTGTTGTCCCCTCCGATGCTCTCCATCACCACCTGCCTACCTTGCAACAACTAGTGCGTTTTCTCGCAACTGGCACCGACAATGCACAAGCCCAGCAACAGGGCGACTGATTAAAAAACAAACCACAATAAAATAATAATAAAAAAAAACACACCAAAAAAAAAAACAAAACCAAAAAAAACAAATAGAGAAATACGCTCCCCTGTAAATCATAATAATCTAAAGAGCATCTTTTTCAAAAAAAATCCCTCAGCCCTTCCAGCCAGACGGGAGAGAGGGAGAGCTCGTGCAAGACAAGGCACTCGGGCGGAATCCCACGGGCAGAACCCCACGAGCGGCCGCCCCGGGGCACCCCCGTGGAACCACCCCGGCTCTGCCCCTGGCGAGACCCCGCGCCGCCGCCAGACCCCGCCGGGCACCGCCGCCTCGCCCCGGGCCCCCCGGGCGCACCTGGCTGGGAGCGGAGCGGGGCGCACACACCGCCCCGGCCCCGGCGGGATCGGGGGAGGGCGGGCGGCGAGAGAAGCGCGGCTGGCCGGGGAGCAGCGGGGACGGACGCGGAGCCGAGGGAAGGGGGCGAGGCGCGGGCTGCCTCGCGCGCAGCAGCCGGCAAGAGCCCGGCAGGGGCGGGCGGACAGGTGAGGGCGGTGAGAGGGCACGGCGACCCCCGGCGCGGCTCCCCTACCTGCGCTCCGGCGCTGCCGCTGCTCCCGCTGCGCCCGCGGCGGTCCGTTCCCACCCGCCACCGCCCCCTCGCTCCGCTGCGCGGCCCCGCCGCCGCCGCCCCTCCCAGCACCGCCCGCCGGCCCCGCCCCCGCCCGCATGACGTGTCCTCGCCAGTAGCAGAGCAGACAGCCGGCCCGGGCCACGCCCATGCCCTTCAGCCAAGTAGCAGGCGGCCGTCAGCTCTTGTCCCCGCCCCCGCGGACCGCCCGGGCCGGCCGGTTGGGTTGAGGCGCAGCGGCGCAGGTGGGCGGAGGGGTCGCGTCTGAGGGGCCGGGGGGCACGTCCGGCCGCGGGCGTGAGGGACAGGGGGTACCGCCGCAGGTGGAGGGGCGGAGGGCAGCTCCCGGCAGCAGGGCACGGCACGGCACGGCATGGCCGTGAAGGATAGGTCCCTCCCTGACAGGGAGGTGGCTTCTCGTGCGGGGGATTCCGCGGAACGGATGGGCGCGTTCTTTATTTTTTTTTTTTTAATTATTTTTTTTCCCTTTTTTTGGCATGGAAACCGGTCCCCGCCCCCGGCACGCAGGGCCGTTAGTCACCCGAGAGCGGGGCGGGAGGCGGGAGAAGCGCCGTGGGAGCCGCGCTGCTGCTTTTGCTGGATGGGTGGAGGGAAGGGCAGCGGGGATGTTAAAATCCAGTGACTCCTTTTTTTTTTTTTTTCCTCAGATCAGCTCCTGACACGGTGAAAATCCGTCCAGCACTCAAGCCATTTCTCCATCCTTTTTTTTACAAAACCACAATCTGGGCTTGCAGATTCTGTTGCTGGCGGCTGTGAGGCTTTCACCTTTCAGCTTCGCTCACACAAATTAAAATTACAGTTTAAAACTAAAGCCACTTTCAGGCAAACATCGAGTGTCAGATGCACCACGGCAAAATGTAGTTCTGGGTGCTTGAACTTGGCTCCCGTTTTCTTGGTACGCTTCAATGGTTATTTGAATTTGAAAGATATTATGAAGCCCACTGGACATAACAGGACACAGAATTCAGCAATGGTTGTGTATTGCTAATCTAACACTAACCAAAAGTATGTTTTTTCTGTAAGGATATAAACCTTAAAAAAAATCTGCATAGACAGATAACAGAGTTTAAGGCACTGCAGTGCATGAAAATCAGGCATCTCATTTTCATTTGTTGTTCCACACAGAATGCTTCATGAGCCTTGGGGCACTGAAGTGTTTTAGTTTGGATCAGAGAGGCACTTTTGAAGTAACTGCTGTCATCATCTCTGCTAACAGTGCTGTAATTCAGAGTGCAGAGTGGTGTTGGAGTGCATGAAGTAGATCTCTTTTGTATGAAGCTAAACTAATGCATTCCAGCCACAAATGGGCACTGGGTGGGACTCAAACTGAACTAGTCAAACAGTAGGAATCCTTGAACTGTGTACGGCTTGAAGATCAGGCTTTCAGCACCAACTGCTGCACTCTACAGGTCTTCTGTTAGACCTTGGTGCTTGCCTGTGTAGTTGAAGATTTGGAGCTTTGTAGTTCAGAAGGAAGATCCCAGAGGGTTTCTAATGTAACATCTAAAAGACCTGACTCATGGTTCACAGCAGACAGTCAAACCGATGCTTAAAAACTTTGATGCTTAAAAGTCTGCCAAAACTCCCAGTTTGTATATGGATCTTCCCATATTCTTGTGTCAGGAGTATATCACGTCGTCTCTAGCAATAAGGATAACTTGAACTGAGTTCAAAATCTGACGCTGTTGTCTAAAGGGTAAAAAAATGTGCTGCCGATGTTGCTATTTCAGATATTGTCAATGGCTTTGTGGTCCCTAATTATCCCCCTATACCTGCAACTGATTCCACAATAGAAGGCAGTGGTGCTACAACTTAAATATAAATGACTGGGCAATGCTTTAATGCTTAAAAATAACTGTATTAACTTCTGATAACATATGGTAGCAATTAAAACAGTTTTTTTCTGTTAGTGTATCTTGTCATTTTAATATAAGGCCATATTGTAAGCAATGTAGCAGATGTTGAATTTTTGTGAGAAGGCATAGACAGAATCACTGTGGTGGCAAAATCAGAGCTGAGATTTTTTTTGTTATAATGTACACAAAATAAATTACCTTTTCCTACAGTGCTTCTCACAGGTAACCAGTTTCATGCCCTAATATGACATAATTACTCTTTTTACTGAGATCTGTCTTCTTTTGGAAGGGGTGTGTGAGAGAAATTTCTTATTTGGTAGGTAAGATAGAATGCTTTATTATAAACTTTAATCTTCGGCTTTGCAAAGCCTTTACATGCCTGAAATCAAACATCATAGCTCACTTGTCTTCTAGGTTACTTCTGTATTCATTATAATATTTTTTGCTCTCATCTTGTGGTTGTACAGAAATGTTAGAACAGCAGATTTTTGGTTACTGTGTCCAAAAGTTTAGGGCTAATTTCACTCAACTATAAAGATGGAATTTTCTAATGTGAACTCTTCAAATCAGGAATGGATGTGGAGCCAGGCGCTTTTATTCTGACACTCACATCATGGTCTATAATAGAGATATTTTTTTTGGAAGCCTAGGCTAGACTCCACCAAGTCACTAAAACAAAATATAGGAAAAAAATATGATTTGCCAGGTGAAACAAGCATTTATGACTGAATATAAACAAGCAGCAGGTCTCATTCATAACACGATATCTTTTTTAAAAGACATTTTTCCTGTAAAAAAAAGAGGGGAAATGCCCAAGTTACCCAAAGGCCACCTGAATGTTTTTTCTGGGGACTCCTAATGGGGTTGTGGTGGAGTGACCAGGGCCAGAGACAAACACTTGCAGGCAGCAGCTGGATTGTCTTGGCTTCCTTTTTTTGGTCCCACAAACAAGCTGGCTCCGTGTCAGGCTGGCCCTCCAGTGCAGATCAGAGCAGTCTGATCTGTTCTGCTGGAAATGGCGTGAAGTGCCAAGTCCTGCACTCAGCTTCTGTGGGAGCGCCTGTGAGTCACCACATCAGCTGGGCCCACGGGCAGCTCCTGGTTTGGTGGCCAACCAATGTCACATGGCCTGGAAGGAAAGAGCTGATCACCCACTGCATCCGTATTAACCACTGACACTAAGAACCAAGTAGGAATAAGTTTGATGTAAACATCAGTGGAAGTGGATGGCGAAGTTTAGTGAGGTATAAATGCATATACATGGGGCAAGATACTATCGTGGCGTTTTAGAAGAGCCTTGAAATGTGCAAAAATCAATGGGAGTTTTACTAAGCTTAAAAGTGCAGAAATTGGCACATGGGTAGAAGCAGATTATTCATTTCTTGTTTCTTGTAGTGATATTTCATTACTTACAGAAGAAAAGAAAACAGGAAATAGTCAATAGAGATTGTTTCTTTCCTAGGGTCTTGAGAGAAAACAATGTAACAAAAGGGAACAATGCTGGTTTAATTATTATTCTCTACAAACTGGCTGTTGCTTTCCCAGGAACCAAGCTCTCAGTTGAGCAATCAGTAATTTAAAAATAATTTTATTGTGAATTTCCTATACAGTGTTGCATATTTAATACATGCAATAAAGGCTGACAACCACAATTCTCAGGTGGTAGAGTCTGCATAACTGCACTGACATCCCTTTATAAAACTAATCCTAAAATGTGTCTTTTAAAATGTGTAATTTGCAACTATCACTCTTGAATGGGATCATTTAATTTTGAAGATTGGGCCTATGGTCAAAGAGTTAAGGCTTTATTCCTTCCTGCGCAATCATTTCCATGCAAGGACTACAAACCAATACTTTCTTAATCTATTTGTTGGGTGATGCAACCATCCTTCACCAAAATGGTAAGTGGTTCACTCCACAAGATTTCCCTGGCATGGGCATCTGGGGGCGTGTGTGTGTGCGTGTGTGAGTAAAGATGAGGATTTTCTGCACATCCCCACTACAGAACTGCAAACTGCTCTGCCCAGCCCTTCCAAGAGTGGGAAAGTAACAGAAGAAATAGTGCTTGATCTGTAAGAAATAGTTTTACTGTCTTATTTAAAAAGACTTGTTTAGGCTATGAAAAGTACCTACTCTCTGCCTCTTAGTTTAAAAATAGGCTTTCTGTGCTTCTTAACCACCTGCTATCTTCTCCTCGTGCATTACCCCTGCCCTTTCTGCTGGCTTCCTAAACTAATGTGGGTAGATTGCAAGATAGACATTTTGCTTTTACAGAGCCAGGACTCAGCCTAATTATAACCTGCAAGTTCAGGATGTGACTGTTTTGACTTGCAGAAGCAAAGATGAATAATTGAGTTGTAGGCATTTAATTTGTTTAGATACTGCGAACTTGATCCACTTGTAACTGTAATTTATTGTACTTACGACAGTGCTGATACCTGATGAAAACAACCTATGTGTGCAAGCCATCATTTGCATTGTATTTTCTAATGAAGTAAATTGACTTTTAGCAAAGTAAAAACACTTTTGCTTTTCTTTTGTGAAAATCAGTGTTTTTATTACTTCTCTATGACAAGAAAATAGTACACAGAAAAATGTTAAAAATATTTCTTTCCAGACTACAGTAATTTAGACAATCTGGCATTTCAAAGAGCCATACATCTTTATTTCAATAATAATGACCAGTTATGGTTAATGGATTTCATTCATCCTAATATCTCTTACTGTGTGTAATAGGCACCTTCAGCATGCACCTAGGTACCTTTGCCCGTGAGGTATTTCATCCTTGAGCATAATTTATAGGTTTATGTCAGCATTTGGTTGGAACAAGACAGGAGGTAAGATGACATGATTGCAGGGGGGCTTTCTGCTGCAGTAGTCTGTGTATTAAACTCTTGAGGGCAATTCCTGCTTGTACAGACCCTTCAATGCTCCAGTCCTCACCCTCATCTCAGAAAAATGGTACTGACATATATCATTGTAGTTTCACATATCACATCATTTTCCACCTATTTTTCCCCCATGAGGCTCTAGTGTCTCTTGTAATGATGTCACAATGAGAACAGATTAGATAGGATAGCTCTCATATATTTCTAGTTCATGGCTAGGCTTCACGAACAAAGATTT